TTAACTCATTAACTGGCAATGCGCCCGGATGCACCCTGAGATTGGCAAGTGGGTAACTGGCAATGCGCCCTCAAATGACACCTCAACTTGCGGGCATGATATTTGAGCACGTGTTTATCGGGTTGCCTAGCAACGGATACGAAAATAGAACGCGAAATTCGAGCTTTTCAACGGTGTATCATGCAAGAAAATCGGCCAAAAACTCGCAAAGTTTTTCAAGTTTAAAACCTTAGTTTTTCAAAAATAATGAATAATGGCGTTATTGTTGCAAAGAAGGATTTCACAGCAAGTTTTAAAAGAGAAAAAAGAAGACTTTTTGAATGATTTACAACGAAAATTTGGCATGAAAGGAAAGCGAATGTATTGACGTTTTGGGCCAAGTTCTTCTATGAACCTTGCACGGGATTTTCAGCCAAAAAGATGAGGATTTCTCCAAACTTTATTAAAAATAGAAGTCGGAAATCACAAGAAAGATGAACACGGAACTCAAGTGAGCAGATACGATTTTTTAAAGGGTATTTTTGAGTAGAAATATGCGATCAAACACTCACAAAATTCGACCGCATTAATGTCAATTGTTTCTGAGATATTGGCATTTTGGTGAAAGCTTGGAATTCAATCATGAATTCGCCATATTGCTTGCCACTTTAGGGGGTGGTAACATTGTAACAGCTTGCCAGTTAATGAGAGTTAAAAGTAAAATAATAAAGTACCGGTAACAATAATTTTGCTCGGGTTTATAGTCGCAGTTTAATATAATAGGCCTGGTTCACACTTGGCAATTTTGTCGGTGAGTTTGTGTTTCTGATAGATGCAAATGAGTCATTCATTCGATCACATTTTCCAGGACGGAAAAAAATCGCCGACAGAATTTGCTAGTGAACTTTAGACTTTAATAAACAAGCTAAAAAAATGCCAGAAATCATAGCATCCATCTACTTAATACTCTAACAAAGTAATATTACAAGCATATCTAGCTAATTTCAGCACTTACCTTCCGTACAAAGTAGAAACGTTTCGTATACAAACTATTACAGAAATACCCAAAACGAAAGTAAAAATATGTCTGCAGACTGTCAACCGCAAACGGTCAAATGGTAGCTTCGCAAATGCTTGCGAAAACAGCTCGCAAAAACTTTCTTATAACCAAACAACTTGTAGATTCTCCAGAGACATTGTCTACCACAAGATCGCAGCAATTATTTTAAAGTTTTAAACAGAAAAGAGGAAAAAAAACTACTTCGAAACTTCGAAATCTTTCGGTGTTTACAAAATGTGGCATGAGCCAGCGATAGTTTGGCCAGTGAAATAGAAAATTTTTCCTGGAAAACGTTTGGCGGGAAAACAAAATTCATCATTACACAATATTAAAATGCCCGAGATATTCACTTTTTCATTGTTTTTCTCATTCTTTGGGACAGTTCTAACCAAATAAAACATGTGTACAACGTCTTCACCATTATATTTTCTTCTAAGTAGCTTTTCTTCGTTTAAATGGTTTAAAAAGGTGCAAAAATTTTAAATAAACAATATTAAATTTGCTTTCATTTTTGGACTTTGAAAATCAAGATGGCGGACGCTTATGCAATCACAGAAAAAATTCTCCAGAGAAATATTTCGCGACAAAAATCAGACAAATAGAATAATGTTGCGAATTGCTATAAATTGAAACAAAAGAATTTTTGAAACATGTTTCTGACTGCTTTTGGGTTGGTTTTACTTTTCATATTGATTCTGATAGTGTTTGCTTGGATTTACAACGTCAAGACGGTCACACGAAAGAGAATTCTGATAATCGTTCTAGGGGATGTCGGCCGCAGCCCTCGAATGCAGTACCATGCCTTGTCATTTGTTAAAGAAGGTTTGGGGGTCGACCTCATTGGATTTGACCATTCACCGCTAATTAAGGAATTACAGGATCAATCGTTAGTCCGAATCATTCCCATAAACGAACCGCCTAAAAAGCCGAGCTGGCTGCCTCGATTGCTTTACTATGTATTCAAGACAATATACTTGTTTGTGCAACTCGTTACGGTCGTTCTGTGGAAAACCTCTAAACATTCGCATGTACTGGTGCAAAACCCGCCGGCAATTCCGACGCTTGCCGCTGCATGGCTAATTAGCATAATCCGCCAATCACGGTTCATCATAGATTGGCACAACTATGGCTACACCATCCTTTCATTGGCCGTCGGCAGCACAAATCCACTAGTCAAGTTTTCCAAGTTTTACGAGGGCGTCCTCGGGCACAGGGCTGCATATAATATTTGTGTGACGCAAGCCATGAGAGTGGATTTGCGGCAGAGGTGGGGTGTCGTGGCAACCACATTATACGATAGACCTCCGCAGAGGTTTAGAAGTATAGATGAGGATGAAAAACATAAGATATTTTTGAAGTTATCCGAAAGTTACAATGTTTTCAAATCAGTCGACAATAAGGTTTGTATAACGTTTGAAAGCTCCGGATTGATATACAACGAGAACTTCAGACCTCTCAACTCTCACGCATTCGGCGTGAGTCTCACGCAATTCGCTTCACTCTCACGCCACGTTTAGTAAATCTCACGCATATAACAGTTTCATAGTATTTTTTCAATAATATAATATTGTATTCTTAAGTGCACATTATTAATCATTATACGGATGGCGAATCGAATATATAATCGCGTGTTATTCATGTTCCGACATATACGGCCCGACATTTTGCCCGCAATTTGGATACAAAATAGTACGCATATATGTGAATACGGCGGACAAAAGGCAGAATCAGTCGGAGCAGAATTCTATATGTAAATTATCAAAGGCAAATTAAAGCTCATTACTGTATGTCGCAGAAATACAGTTATTGTAACTAAAGTGCCCTCTTAAAGGACTTTATAAAACAATGCATTTCATTAAAAAACACCTCAGAATGTACGAAATGCCATTTCAGACCCCCGGACTTTTACAAAGGTGTCATCCACATCCCCAATCTCACACTTAACTTCTCTGCAAAGTTGAGAGGTCTGGAACTTCAAAGTTTCGGGCGAAGGCACTTCGTCACACTATATATCTACACCAAACAATTTTTTTCTAATACGTCAGAAACAAGATTTATAACTCTAACAAGTCACTTTACGAGTCACCTTAAGAGCAGACTGTCCATCTTTGTTAAAGGGACTCTACAGTCATTTTTTAGTCGAAAAGCCACCTTAAGTAGGGGACCCCACGGAGATTCGTTTAGCTGTATCTTACATGCAGTATCCATAAGTATGAGTACTTCTGCACACTGGAAGACGCATGCATGCCGTGATGCGCATGTCAAGTAGCGACAATAACAAAAAATGTAAACAATACTTACTTGACTAAAAAATGACTGTAGGGCCCCTTTAATGAGCAGTACTAGATTTATACAAGGCCGTTGGAAGTAAATCAATATGGGGCCAAATTGCTTTCACAATTTTTTATAATAATTGCTATATCACAGCAAAGCCACCAGCTTAATAAGCATAGAATAAGTGAATAACCCACATTGCTATAATCCTTATATATTTACATTTTATATATTTATATTTTCAGAGTACATCGGATACAAGATTTACAACTCTGACGAACAGCAGGGCCACCTTAAGAGCAGATCGTCCCGCCTTGTTAATCAGCAGTACCAGCTGGACTGAGGATGAAGACTTTCAAATCCTCCTTGACGCTTTGCAACAATATGACAAAATGGCTGATACCCACAGTTCTAAATTGCCTAACATTGTGTGTGCCATTACAGGAAAAGGTCCATTAAAATCTTATTACCAAGATATAATATCAAAAACAACTTTGAACCATGTCAAGATTTATACACCCTGGTTGGAAGCGGAAGATTACCCAATCCTGGTTGGGTCAGCCGATTTGGGTATATGTTTGCACACCTCGTCATCAGGGTTGGACCTACCGATGAAAGTTGTGGATATGTTTGGGTGTGGTGTACCTGTGTGCGCTGTTGGTTTTTCGTGGTAAGGGTTTGAGGTTGACCTGAATGAGATTGTGTGATTTACACAGTACAACTCAAGTTGTAAGCAGGTTGCATGTGACAGTTTTGGGCAAAAGTTGTGTTGTGTAAATTGGCCTTAATACAGACATCACCCTCTAAGACAGGCACCTCTTTAAGACAGACATCTCTCTAAAACAGACATATCTCTAATACAGACATCTCTCTAACACAGACATCTCTCTAATACAGACATCTCTCTAAGACAAGCATTTCTCTAATACAGACATCTCTACAGACATCTCTCTAAGACACAAACATTTCTCTAATACAGACATCTCTCTAAGCTGTACACCTCTCTAATACAGACACCTCTCTAAGACAGACATCTCTCTAAGACAGGCATTTCTCTAATACAGACATCTCTAAGACAGACAACATATCTCTCTAATACAGACATCCCTCTAATACAGACATCTCTGTAATACAGACACCTCTCTAACATAGACATCTCTCTAATACAGACATCTCTCTAATACAGACATCTCTCTAATACAGACACCTCTCTAATACAGACATCTCTCTAATACAGACACCTCTCTAATATAGACACCTCTCTAATACAGACACCTCTCTAATATAGACATCTCTCTATTAATACACACACCTCTCTAATACAGACATCTCTCTAATACAGACATCTCTCTAATACAGACATCTCTTTAATACAGACATCTCTCTAATACAGACACCTCTCTAATATAGACATCTCTCTAATACAGATACCTTTCTAGTACAGACATCTCTCTAGTAAAGACACCTCTCTAAAACGAACTCTCATCCGTCTCTGACTCTCTATGTATTAGTCGGGCCATTAACTTTAAAAAATTTATTAACAGTAGTACATTTCTTCATGTTTAGTCTGAATGAGCTGGTCAAACATGGTGAAAATGGTCTGGTATTTAACGGTCCAGAACAACTTGCCGAACAACTACAAGAATTGCTGGTAGACTTTCCTAGAAATCAAGAACTTCTCAACAAATTTCGAGAGAACTTAAAAGAATTCCAGAAAAAACGATGGCATGCCTGTTGGAAAGAAACATTCTATGACCCAATATTTAAATGATTAAATATTACATATTACTCAATAAATTGTAAAGCTCGGTATATTATTGATACGTACAATTTAGGTGCTCTCAAAAAGTGGCTATTTATGTCTCATTCCTCTACGCATTTGTGCTGACACAGTGCCACAATTGTAAGTGCACGTGTCTGGCACGTTTGCGACTGTTGGATTCCTGCAATATTCAGTTGTGTGATTGGAATTTTACCTCACATGTGACACTGTTTCCTCCTGTAGTAACACTGGATCAATAAGGGAAGATTCTCACTGGACCTCTAGGAAGAACAGTTTAGAACTGATAGAGCTATCCAGTACAATCAATTAGCTTTAATAGTAACACTGGATCAATAAGAGATGATCCTTACTGGACCTCTAGGAAGAACAGTTTAGAACTGATACAACTATCCAGTATAAATAAAGTTAGTTTAGTTTTCCTCCTGTAGTAACACTGGATCAATAAGAGATGATTCTTACTGGACCTCTAGGGAGAACAGTTTAGAACCGATAGAGCTATCCAGTATAAATAAAGTTAGTTTAGTTTAGGTTTCCTCCTGTAGTAACACTGGATCAATAAGAGATGATCCTTACTAGACCTCAAGGAAGAACAGTTTAGAACTGATAGAAGCTATCCAGCATAAATAAAGTTAGTTTAGTTTAGGTTTCCTCCTGTAGTAACACTGGATCAATAAGAGATGATTCTTACTGGACCTCTAGGCTCTAGCAACAACAGTTTAGAACTGATAGAGTTATCCAGTATAAATAAAGCTGGTTTAGTTTATGTTTCCTCCTGTCGTAACACTGGATCAATAAGAGATGATTCTTACTGGACCTCTAGGAAGAACAGTTTATAACTGATAGAGCTAACCAGCATAAATAAACTTAGTTTAGTTTAGGTTTCCTCCTGTAGTAACACTGGATCAATAAGAGATGATCATTACTGGACCTCTAGGAAGAAAAGTTTAGAACTGATAGAGCTATCCAGCACAAGTAAAGTTAGTTTTGGTTTTCTCCTGTAGTAATACTGTACGAATAAAGGATGATGACTCTTACTGGACCTCTAGCGAGAATAGTATAGCTATCCAGTATAAATAGTTAGCTTTTCTTCTATTGTAACACTGGACCTCCACTTGTTTTCAATATATGTTAAAAAACTCGTTTTTCAATGATATATTACGTAGACGATTGTGAATCAATTTACAGGTTTTCTTCAATTTATTTGTCCTAGTAATAAACATGTTAAATTTACAAAGAGTGAGTTTATACCATACATTTAGGCAGTAAAATTTAGATTGAAAGATATGATTGAATGTCCTTCCTGCACAACTATCGCTTTTTAAAAAATACACTCGGTTAACGGTCAGGAAGCTAAAGATGGCCAAACTAGGAAACATATTCTGGGAGAACTAAATTTCATTTCCGCTATTCTGGAAAGAAAATGGTATTCGTCAAGAAATTTTGAGAGTTGGGAGTCACGCGACGTTGGTTAGCTGTTCTTAATGCTTTCCCAACACTATCATGTATTCTATTTAAGTTAAAACATAGTTGGAACACTCATTAAATCTTTATTTTGTTAATTTAGGGCTTCAAACATGGCTAGGTTTAATGATGTTTCCTAGTTTGCCGACATATATTCGCGGAACATGGCTAGGAAACAATGTTTAGCGGTTTATCTACTTTCAGTGAACATGGCTACACATGAAATAATATTTCCTGGTTTGCCCACCTTCGGGAAATATGGGCTACACGCGTAAAAGGTCTCACAGCTTGTCAACAAGACGTGTTCGCATTGCTTGTTCCCAGTTGTTGACAAGTCTGGAACAAGTTGTTATCATCTTGTAACAAGGTTGACGAGGCCAACAGACTCGCAACGGATTGTTCCAACAAGTCTGATATCGTCTGCACGTAACAAGTTGTTCACAAGTCGATGACAACAAGCTCGTGGCAACATGTTACGAGAACAGCCTGTGTTAGTTTTGTTGGAACAAATTGTAGCAAGTCTGTTACCGTCGTCAACCTTGTAACAAGGTGATAACAACTTGTTCCAGACTTGTCGCAACAACTGGGAACAAGCAGTGCGAACACATCCTGATATCGGCTTCACAACAACCTTGTTACAAAACTTGTTTGCAGATCTACAAGAACTTGCGCGTTTTTATGTGGTTTAAACGCCGGCGTATATACCTAACAAATGTTTCCGCGCATAAAATGCTTCCCGAGTAATAATTCACTGATTTATATCATATTTTACGTGCTAATATTGCTGTGGTGTGAATTTCAACACAAAACTAGACAGACCAGAAATCCATTTTGGTATATTTAGCCCTTTTTTGTTGTTGATAAAACGCAATACTCTGCGCTCAAATAATGAAAAAGTTTTGTAAATGGGGACAATAACATATCTTGTGAGATTTTCGAGGCTAATTTCAACCTTAAAAATGGATTTCTAAATGTCAACAAGCGCGCCACATCGTGCTAGAATATTCACCTAGCTCGCTGGCGACTGCCTTATATTGTTTTCTCGTCTTAACATGAATTTCCCAAAAGCTCTTGAAAGCTTTTACACCATACCGTCGCTCTGAAACGAGCATTTCAGCACATTGTGCAGTTATTTGAAAATTAGAAAATAGCTTTTCTGTTCCTATCATACATTTTAAAGGTCTAGATATTTATCAAGTCTTTTTTTCTGCGGCGGGAAAATTTTCTCACGATTTGTGATTCGACGTGAGCCATGTTAAGCCTTCGTACAGGCCATCACCTGTCGTTGCACACGATGGTTGAACGTACCAGTTTCGATCACGAATTCGAGTAAGACCGAGTTTTTCTTGGATTTCATGAGGCTTCATCGCTGAAATAAAACGCAAAGGAAGTTAGGCTTGCTTGACCCAGAAAGCTCTATGATACAGGGCGTATCGTGCATTATATATTATGTTTATCAATTTACTTTTTTCATATACCAATAAAGATCAGGATTTTAGCTGTCAAATGCTACCTTTCTTGCATCATTATATATTTTTCCACCACTGGGAATTACATGTAAAGCCATTGTCTGTGTAGATGTTTGTGATGTAAAGCCCTGGGCAAACTAGGAAACATTGTTGTGGAAACATTTGTGATTCACGATGTCTCCTCAAATGTTTCCCTGTTTGCTCACCCGTGGAAACATTGTTGCGGAAACAAAATTTGCTTCCCGAGAAGCAAAAATGTCTCCTAGCAAATTCAGAAACATTTGATGTTTCCCTATGTTTCTCACTAATGTTTCCTAGTGTTTGCCCACTCTGGGAAACATGGCGAAACATTGGTAGGAAACAATGTTTCTATTTCAGAACCATCCTCAGAGATACGAAAAACTAGTTTCATATTATTCTGACACTGCAATCGAGCGACGAAAAATTCGTTGACTCGAGCGGGATTTGAACCACCGCTCTACCTATTGAGCTATCGAGTCAACAGGGATTGGTAGTGAGTCTTATCCAATTTAAGCGCACGAAATATTTTCGTGACGACTTAACGCTTGTCTTAGAGGACGCGCGGTGTTTCAATTCTATTTCAGAACCATCCTCAGAGATACGAAAAACTAGTTTCATATTTATTGACAAGCGTTAAGTCGTCACGACAATATTTCGTGCACTTAAATTGGATAAGACTCGCTACCGATCCCTGTTCACTCCATAGCTCAATAGGTAGCGCGGCGGTCTAGATACCCGAAGATGCGAGTTCAAATCCCGCTTGAGCCAACGAATTTTTCGTTGCTCGATTGCAGTGTCAGAATAACATGAAACAATGTTTCCGCAACAATGTTTCCTAGTACGTTCGCCCTGGGCTTAACTAAACAGACAACGGGCAAATTCTTATCGATTTGTTGAGCTTACCATCGGGTAAATCTTGTTTGTTAGCAAATATTAAAATGATCGCATCCCTCATTTCTCGATCGTTTATAATTCTGTGTAACTCCTGCCTCGCTTCTTCGATCCTGTCTCTGTCTGCGCAGTCAACAACAAATATCAAGCCTTGCGTTCCAGTGTAGTAATGTCGCCATAGAGGTCTTATTTTGTCTTGCCCGCCTACATCCTGAGGGGAAAATAATGGATAATTATTACACCAGGTTGAGCGTGACATCGAAAATTACAAGCGTAAAAATCTTACATCTTGTAGCAAGTCTGCCAACAAGCCGTCAACAAGTTGTGTTCGCACTGCTTGTCACAAGTTGTCAACAAGTTTGGAAGAAACTGTTAACAACTTGTACAAGAACCTTTGTCCATACTAATTATTATCAGACTTGTTGCAAAGTTGTTCCAACAAGTTGGATACAGTCATGATACAATAATATTGTAAGTTACCACCTTGTAACATTCTTGTTATATCATGACTGTATCAGACTTGTTAGAACAACCTTGTAACAAGTCTGATAATGCCATCAAGCTTGTTACAAGTTGTTAACAGCTTGTTCCAAACTTGTTACAACAACTGGGAACAAGCAGTGCGAACACAACTTGTCGACAGCTTGTGAACAGATTTGGAACAACTTGTTTGCAAACCTGTAACAACTTGTGCGTTTTAGTGACTTAATTTTAAATATGCTGTCAACGTATCTGACAATATTGTCAACTGACAACATTCGTCATTAACATTTGGCAAAACCTGAAATCGGCCCGATTAATCATTGTGTGCATAAAGTGTAGCTTAAAATAACTTGCTTTTTTAAGAAAATAAGAACCTATTTAACAACCTGTTTAGCCTAATTTCCTGGTAAGGCGTAAAAAAAAATATCTGTGGTTACGGTTCCCGACCGACCCTATTTTTTTTCTGCCGATCCTATTATTTTTTCAACGCGATTGACCGTGCGACCCTATTTTCTGCGGGTGGTTGCGGGTTGCTGCCAAAATGGCGTCTGTTGTCACACTAATTATTGAAAAAACCATGAAAAAAAATATTCAAAAAAAAAATTATTTCCGACCTACCGACCCTAATTTTTTCGCGATATGAAACCGGAACCACCGGTATTTTTTTTTACGCCTAAGCACCATTTACATAATAACCTGTTTAGGCCTACTTGGAAAAATCTAGGTTCTTATATGAAGGGTTATAATGTATGTCTTCATTTTAAAATGCAATTGTGGTAATAATAATTACTTACCCAAACATTAAATTTGACATTTTTATACGTTACGGTTTCAACATTAAATCCTACGGTTGGTATGGTCGTCACAGATTGTCCCAGCTTTAGTTTATATAATATAGCTAGTGAATATGTCAAGAAGAACAACTCTAAATACAGCAGAACAAAGCTTTGTCGAACTGGCTTATCTCAAACTTAAACCCACTTCCCCCAAATTTGCCCAATCATTTTTACTTGCAATGGTTAATTCAAACTCCAAGTGAGCTGTAATTTTGCAATAAGCTCTCAAACAGAAGATAGCGATAAAATAAAAATTATTCACAGTTTTTACAGGTATGAATTGAAAATTAATGTTAGAACATTGCTCTCAAAATTGATCACAAAGGTGGGTATGGCTGAGCTCGCTTGAATACATAAAATACAATGTTTCTAATCATTGATTGCTCATGTAAAATTGGCTATAAAATGATATAGGAAATTACACTTGTTCTCGAAGTATTAATGAAAAATCACACTTGTGTTTGCAAAAATATTTATAATGCCGCTTGTGCTAAGAATTCGCGGTATTATAAATATTTCGCCAAACATGTGTGCAATTTTTCGTTAATACTTCTGTGGCACAATTGGTCAATCACTACAACTATGAAAACGTTACAAGGTTAACTCCCAAATTTCATATATTGACTAAGACTCTGGTCAACATCCATTGCCCAACTTATGGAATTCCAAAGAAAAACATCGATATTCTATCTATGTGCCTCAGTGCACTTCTGCAACACATTCTAGAAAAGGATACTTGTTTTTCCAGCAGCATCCAGACCTAACATTAATATTCTCATTTCTTTGTTTCCAAAGATCTTGGACAGTAATTTGCCCATCTTGACGGTTCGAGATGAGCCTCAATTGATTACCTAAGAACAAATATATTGATTAGGCTAAAGAAATAACAGCTGGGCTTCCAGTTTCCCTACCCTACCTAGCTTTTGGCTACTGAAATCACCGACCCTAATCTTTTTATCCAAAGTTTGCAAAGAGTTTGGAGCAATTTTTGGTACCCAGTTCATAGCGTTAGTTTTGTACTATCTATATAAAGCATAAGTAATAACCTGTTTTTTCAAAGTTGATACAACATTTAACGAATGTTTGTGCCATTTGTGCTGCCGTAATTGATACAGAATATCATTCTTATGCATGAGCATTTATAACAAAAAAAATTAAACAAAAAAAAACAAGAAACCCAATCTACACAAGTTTTGCAACAAGAAATAAGAAACTCGGGTACTTTTTTTTAGGCCTTATGAGGACTGTTTCTGATCTCAGTTCCAAACATGTAACTTGCATTATGCCCTACTTGATTATTTTACTGTCTAATGCCGGACAATTTTACTCATCAAGGGAAGAGCGCTGCCACTCAATGGGTTAATCTAGAGCTGCTCCCGATTAATCGATCAATCGATTAATCGATTATTTTTCCACAATCGATTATGCTTAACAGTAATCGGATCATATATAACACCACACAGCGTGATGCGGGAATGAGTTAATTTCTTCCCGTTAATTGATTCAAAACATTGTGGGTCAAATATCAATGTCACTCGCAGCGTGCAAAGTTTACCATAGTCTGATCAGGTTACCAGTGTTGTGAAAATATCTTTCAAGTTTTTTTATTAGAAAAAATTATTACCATTTGCGTCCTACATTGCAGCGTGCGGACATAAACCAATTATCCATAAGAGTCTGAATCTCGCAAATTTACTTGGGAGTGTCAAAGGTAAACAACTAAAGTAAACATCCTTAATATCGTTCCTGTCTTTTCATGCATTTCTCTTGTGTGTAGTGCCAGAGCACAATCAACAATTAGGATTAACGTTCACTTTAATTACAATTTAGAAACCTGTCGAACCACCATGGGCTTTTCATATTTAAATTAATTATCAATACGATTAATCGATATTAATCGATTGTTGACAACGATTAATCGATTACGAAAATTAACCGATGGGAGCAGCTCTAGGTTAATCCCATACATCCTCTTAACCTTTTAAGTGACAATAGACTACAAAGTACAATGTGCTCTACTTTATCATGTCATCACTCTGTCTAACTCCAGGCAATTTTACTCGTCAATGGGAGAATACTGACACTCAATGGATTATCAGACCATCTGCCTATGTGTCTAGTTAATCCATTAAGTTGCATTGCACTCTAATGTGCTCTACTTTATTATTTTACTCTGCCAGACCATTTTACTTGTCAAGGAGAGAGCACTGCCACTCGATGGGTTAATCAGACAATCCGCCCACGTGTCCAGGGTTCAAATTAGTGACAAAAAATTGATGTGCAAAAATTTCCTTTAATTAAAAATTTCATGGAAATTTCAAAAGAAGTTTTGGCAATAAAAACCAGATAAACAAAACTAAAATGGCGCCTTTTTGCCGAAATTTCTAAAGTTTTGCAACACATTTGTACTTTTTGTAGAAGCGTTTTTTTCTGGGAGACCTTTGTAATAATGTTGAAATACAAGAAATATGTGTCATAAAATAACTTTCCAACAAAAATTTCTCACAACTTGCTTTGCATTTTTTTCCCATTTTTTTGCACATTGTTTGGAAAAGTGGTGTGCAATTTACACTATTTTGGCTAAAACAATGTGCAAATTGCACATTGCAGTGATTGCACACCAAGCCTTAAAATATCTTTTACAGGGCCGTCTCCCAAAATGTCCGATGACTTTGAGTTTGGGTCAGACATATGTCCGATGACTTCAGTTCAGTTTGGGTCGGAAATAAGTCTGAATGACGCAAATTAATATCAGCATAATGTATTCATTCTGAACTAAATGTTGTGAAGATATTAAATAATTTGTGTCATTCATACTTATTTCCAAGCCAAAATTAACTTGCTTGCCCAATGATAGCAGTACGACTTCGATAACTTAAGCCCGTTTTTCACCTCACCATTTCACTCGCCGCCCGCAACATTTTCGGTTCATTTTTATACAAACTCTGGTTCTGGACTAGGGTACATTTTGATTTACGTTCGTGGAGAAAGCATCAGACAAAGCTACAGTTCGGTCGGACACCAATACACTCAGGTCGGACAAACAATAAACCTCAGTTTCACTTAGATCAGACAGAATGTCTGGTGGTTTCCTCTGTACATCGGACAATTTGATGAATGGGTCGGACAATGTCCGTAACCGACGGATATTTTAAGGCCTGTTGCACACCGTTAATTCAAACCCTTAAGTTAACGCCCCAATGCACAGACGATTTTACTTGTTAAGGGAAAACCTCTGGTGCTCAAAGGGTTAATTAAAGGAAACAGCCAATGGCCACTAGAATTATTCATACTAAAAAGATGCCAATTAGCTGGATATTGCTATTGAGTACAACTGCTATCTAAGGTAATCCTGGCATGTCCTATGCGGAGGAGTAGGAAGTAATCACTACATGGAAATTGGGTTTGACCTCTTCAGGAGATAACAAGGAAGAACCACATTCTCCATATAAAGAAACTATACAAATATCATATCAATATAAAAAATGGGGAAATAACTCTACGATACCCACAAAAATGAAAAGGCAAGCACTAGAAATAACACAGAAACACACTGCTTTTATAGTAACTGCAAAGTGCAAAGGCCCACTCATAATGTCTAGGTTCGCACAAAACTAGACAAATTTCAAACTATAATCAAATATGTACAACTACGTCTTTGAAGTTGACATAAAACCGAATGAATTTCAGGACACCCAGGGTTCGAAATAACATTTTGAAAATATGTCAAATTTTGTAGGCTGTTTTTTGTAGGTGAAAATTTTTGCCGGCTATTTTCCAAGCGAAGTTTAGTTATGTTCTGGAGTAGGCATAGGCCAAATAATAGTGATGTAAACCAACACAACATTTGTAAGAACGGAGCAATACATTTTCTGTGTATATGTACGTGTTATTGTAAGGGAGTCATTGGTGAATGAATATTTTCGCCGATCCCTTATATGCTTTGAAATTAAAATCGCCGGCAAGGTCCTAAAACTCCCGGCTAGTGCCGGCAGCTATTTCGAACCCTGACAGCTATTAAACCATATGAATTCCTTCGGGAACAAATAGACCAGGTGAATTTAACCCCTTGAGCACCAACGCTCTCCCGTTGACGAGTAAAATTGTCTGCGTGTGGACAGAGTAAAATAGTAAAGTAGGGTGCAATGTGACTTAATGGGTTAACTAGAAACACAGGCAGATAGTTTGATCAATTAACTCATTGAGCTCCAGGGCTCTTCCCTTGAAGAGTACAATTTCTAGAGTTAGACAGTACAAAAGAATAAAGTAGGGTGCAATGTGGCTTAATGAGTTGAATACAGTTCTGAATTTGTCCAGCCTTGTGTGAAAATGGTATAAGCATGTGTAATGTTTCGACACAACACAGCCGACGCTAAATACCCAAGATTTCTACACAGCAAGCATCGTTCGCCAGGCTATTCCGCTAACAAGGCTAGCCTGTTTCCAATCTAACACCCCCATAGATATGGAATGAAAATATATAAATAATAAATGAACACAAATTAACCCCAATCATTTTGTTGTCTTAATACAGAATTCCCAACAGGAACAGAACATAAAACAAGACAGAAACTTGACTGAATAAAACAACCATTTCAAAAATAGGCCATCTTTCCACACATAAAATACATCTTTGGGTTTATAGGTTAGGCTGTAATCCCCTTTAGGAAACAAACACTCAAATTTAACAAGGATTTAATATTTTTTCCATTGAACTTAATGTTAAACTTTATAAACACTACATTGAATAAATTAGAAGATTTGTATTGGATTTTTATACAAAACACACAGAAAAACACAGCTTTGCGGACGAAAATTCTAAATTATAGTTTGGAATTCGAAGATGGCTTTTGACGAATTGGCCTCTGGAATCTTCTAACAAAAATTTTAAATCGAGAATTAATTTATCGACAAAACGAAATCTATACCATTTAAACGAAATCGCTTTTAGTAAGACAACGCTAATTTGTTCCCAATATAAAACAAAAGCAAATAAAATAAAATCTGTTTCAAGCATCGACGGGTTTTACATTTCAAAATCTGTCGATGTTTTACATGTAAAATTCGAACGAGAAATCTCGAATTCTGGGCTAAATTTTCGGACGGAAATCGGCGAGAAACGGTTCGATCTCAATCTTGATTTTAGCACGGAAGCTTGTGTGTAACATGGCAGAAAAATGTACTAAAAGAACCATCTTTTCCGGGTGTCTTTAAGTTCATTTGAATATGGTTTTATAGTAGCATGAATCAAGAACATACCAATCTATCTGTGAAGTTGTCGATCTGTTAGGGCTCGTAATCGGCGTAAAATCCGCCTCGATCGCTCTTAAATCGATCCACAAACGCTCCTTGGATATTCCTGAACAAGATCCGTTCCAGAAAGTCTTTATACAAACGATTATTCGTCCAAAAATAATCAAAATTTCTCCATAAACTGCTCTTGGGTGTGACGAGGAATGGCGGCCGGCCGTTGGCTACTCAGGCAATGCCATCGAATCGTCGGGCAACATCGGAATTAGGGTGTTTCAGGCCGGGCTACAAAGCTAAGCCCGCATTCTCAAATATTTGCCTACTTGATGACGTCACCAGATGCTGGCTATATTCACTGATCTCGCAATAGAACTGGATGGAGTATCAGAATTGATGCTCTATCCAGCTGATTTCAGTTCAGTGGAAGAGCTTCAGAGGCAATTTTTTTCAATGCGCGTGTAATTTGCGATGAAAAGTTTTCAAAACCTAAAAACGTTTTGGCGTACCCCTCAAAATTACTTTGTTTTGGCTTTATTCTCTCTCTTTATTCTTTATCTGCCGGTTGAGAAACCGTAAAAATAATAGTGAATAATTGCCAATTAAAATGCAATTATCAACGATGCATTTAAACTTACGCCATATACAGCAATATATTAGCAAGACTTGCTGAACTTCAGACATCATTTTCTCTTTGGCGTACCATCTAAAATCTCTTCATTTTAGTATTATTTTACAGATAAAACACTAAACATACCTTTTTAAGTTTAATTGTTTTTGTTTGTGGAAACACCACGTAAATTTATTACTGCAAAGCTTTCGATCCGTAAGCCCGGATCTTCATCAGTGCTAATATGTATAATAACTAGAAGTTACTATCGCAAGGAAAGTGCTGCCTCGTGCCAAAGGGATCAAAGGCAGCATGCACAATTTTCTGAATAAGGGTCTGTTTTTATGATCCCGCTTTGTCAGGACGAGATATGAGGCGGGAAAGGCACGATGATTCAATAATAATAGTACTGATGAAGATCCGGGCTTACGGATCGAAAGCTTTGCAGTAATAAATTTACGTGGTGTTTCCACAAACAAAAACAATTATATTTTATCGCCATGCAAACATTCAGAGAACTTTTTAAGTTTGTTTGCCGCTTGAGAAACGAATCAAATATTTAAAAAATCGAATACGCACACGTAACAATCTCACATCTTGTAGCAAGTCTGCCAACAAGCCGTCAACAAGTAGTCTTCGCACTGCAGCTTGTCACAAATTGTCAACAAGTTTGGAACAAGCTGTTAACAACTTGTACCAACCTTGTTGATATTATCAAATTTGTTGCAACGTTGTTCAAACAAGTCCGATACTGTCATGATGTAACAATATTGTTACAACCTTGCGTCGTCAACCTTGTAACATTCTTGTTAATATATCATGACTGTATCAGACTTGTTAATAGAACAACCTTGTAACAAGTCTGATAATGCCATCAAGCTTGTTACAAGTTGTTAACAGCTTGTTACAACAACTGGGAACAAGCAGTGCGAAGACAACTTGTCGACAGCTTGTGAACAGGTTTGTAACAACTTGTTTGCAGACTTGTAACAACTTGTGCGTTTTTCCGTGTGTAGTCATAGCCAAGTAGAAAAGTACATTCATGAGTTTTGAGCGCGTGTTACGTAACATACAAAAAATTCTCCTCTAAATATGAGGGAATAACGGTTTGTCCCTGAACTACCTGAAAAAATTTAACTGAAGATATGTCGAGAGCTTTTCCGCAAAATAAAATTTCTCCCACGCTGGGCAAATCAAGCGATACTTTATTTTTATCTGACAACTTAATTGCCAATTATCTTTTTGAAAATAACTGCACCCAAGCGATTCAATTTTTCGTGGAAACCAGTCAATTGAAACAGGGCGCGAGGAAAAATGGCAAGACAGAGTAAATATAAGTGATGAAACTAATTTAGAGGTTTCGTGACAGACTCACAGACTAGACCAGATAGCCAAGTGTTTTGTTCTTTTTTTCAAGTGTATACGTGGGTTTTCAAATTCGATGACGAAGTTGACTTGATGTTATAGGGAGGGCTCATTATTTATTAGGGGGGTGCGGCACCGAAAGGAAATGTTTTTCATGGTAAAAAATTTGTTGATTCAACATTAAAAAAAAATTTTTTTACCTAACTTCAAATATCGACTACGATTCAATGATTCAATCTGAATTCAGGAAACTCAATCTTAGGATTCCATGATTCAGCTGAGGATTCAATGATTCAATCTTAGGATTAAATGATTCAATCTTAGGATTCAATGATTCAATCTTAGGATTCGATGATTCAATCTTAGGATTCAATGATTCAATCTTAGGATTCAATGATTCAATCTTAGGATTTAATGATTCAGTCTTAGGATTCAATGATAAAAAATTTTCACCCAGCTTCAAATATTGCCTTAAAAATAAATATCCTCCCTTGACCAAAAACAAAAAAGATACCATTCAGTTGTCACGTCACACATGTCCTCAACTGTGACACGAGTTTGATAAACTCTCACTGTTACAAATTACAATAACAACAGCAGATTCAACAGTCAACAACTATATGTCATTCATCAAAACACAAAAACGCACATACGAGGAATTTTGGATTACAACAAAAAATTTCGAAAACGCCATGATTGCATGTCGTCCAACCGAGGCTGGATATTAGGGACCGCGGTCATTATTTATGGCGGGGGGTGGCACCAAAGAGAAAAGGGTTGGGTGAACACAATTTTGAGTGAGTAAAAGGTTGGGTAAATGAAAAACAAAACAACTCAAGGGTTGGGTAATAAAAATTTATTGTCATTTCCAAAGCATGACTCACTCAATATTGAAGACTATAAAGCAATGCCAACAGTCATATATGTCAATACAATAGTAAATCAATCAGAGTCACTATCTTGATCATTTTCCGATTTGTCAGGAGGCAAATGGTGTCTCCAAAGAAAGTACATGAACAGATAACATGAAACTTTAGACTGCAGAAAATTGCACAAGCATTTATCATTAACTCATGTCACAGAAGTGGTAAAGGACATGTGTGACAACAGAATGATATCCTTTTGACAACTTTTTGGCCAGTGGTGGATATTTATTTTTTAATTGATATTTGAGGTTGGGTAAGAAATTTTTGTGGACTTTTTAATGGTTGGGACAGCAAAATGTTTGCCAAGAAAACCATTTCTCTTCGGTGCCAACCCACGCCATAAACACAGAAATAAACTCAGGCGAGGTTTCCAGCGAAACATGATCATATGAAAGACCTTCAACACCAGAATATCTAAAACAATGTTTAAAGGACATTGGCAATAAAATATTAGTTTGTCTCATTCAGAAGAACTCTTAAAATTATATATTAAACTCTGTTACCGATTTGTCATATCTTGCTTAGTTCTCGAAATATTTAGACCGAAATTAATGAGCTGTACGCCATCTTGGACTAATTCTTGACCTCATTTTAATTATGGTTTTGATGACGTCAGAAGTTGGGTTAACCATATAAAACTACTCTAAAATGACCGAGAAATAATCCAAATTGTTTGAAATGATTTTAAACATTTCTAAATTTCAGACAGCCGCAGAAACGAAGGTTTGGACCCATATTGATCGCTTATTCTCCAGATAAAAAATTAGCGTGACCCCTCTCCTGACGTAACATGTATATCCTCGATAATCCAAGATGGCGAACAGCTCACTTTTTCAGTCGAAATATTTTGAAAACTAAGCAAAATATAAACAGTCTGTAATAGAGTTTAATATATAGTTTTAAGAGTTCTTTCAAATGAACTAAACTAATTTTTTCTTGCCAATGTCCTTTTTGAACGAAAATGTAAAAATTCCAAAAGTTTTTCATCTTGCTGCAAATGGATTGAGTGGATTCTCGGAGGGTACGTTTCGTGGCGGTGGGGGGATTAAACTTGGTGGACGAGGGGGACCACTGGGCGGGCCTTGCTGGCCTGGAGGTGGGCCCGAAGGCGGGTTGAAACCAGGTGGTGGTGGAGGTCGTGGTTGAGACGGACCAGGGGGGTTGTTCGAGACGCCAGGAGGTGGGGGCGGTCCGCTAGAGGAGGGGTTAGTGCGACGGGGGTTGCGAGATTGTTGTTTCATCTGCTGCATGAGTTGTTGTTGGTGGGCTGAGATCTTGAAATGCATTTGGAAGAAAAACTAGATGGAAAAAATATAGAAAAGGATTCTAGATGAAAATGTAATGGTAAAAGTTGCTGTAAAGTACCCGCAGATATAAACATGGCCCAAATTTTGCATCTTTCAAACTTTTTTGAATTGGAACGTAGAATTTATGTTCTCACTTACAAGCATAGCGAACCAAAGAAGTGTTAGATATTCCGTTAGTATAGCTCGACTCAGTTCCGAATTATCACATACTCGAACCGACCTGACCACGTAGCTCCGTTGGCTAGTGTTCCAAAGGTCGTAGGTTCGATTCCCACCGTGGCCTATTTTTCAAGGGCTAGTGTTCCAAAGGTCGTAGGTTCGACTCCCACCGTGGCATATTTTTCAAGCTTG